AAAATACATATACAGGTAATAATTCTTTACTGATACGTAAGTAATGTAAACAGAAGCAATTGTGATAACTCATTATCTACTCTGATTATATTCACTATGAACTTCTTGCCAGTTATACAATGCTGTATTTTAATTCCTGGCTTTGAATAGTTAGGAGAGCAAAATGTAACTCTGTAAACATTACCAGCACCAACACACTGCGTATCAGGTGGGGTAAAATGAAGCAAGATTATATTCAAGTCAAATCAAATTACTTAAGTCATCTGCATCACAGCCCAAATCTCTTTATATTTCTTTATGAACTAAGAAAAAGAGCTACAATTAAAATCGCATTTGTTTTTTGCTATTATGCAGAATGAAGGTGAAACGATCTCCTTATATAGCGTACAATATGTATTATGAGAAAGCCACTTACAGTTATATATAGATACTTCAATTACTCACAAGTTTAATAGCCAAAAATATATTTTGCAAATAAGCCATGCTTATTTCTAGCAGAAAAAAAAAAATAATAATGAGAGTTACTTTACCTTACTCACAGGGACAGATGCAGATTTTTGTGGGGCCAGAAGGATACACAATTTTGGTAGCCTCCTTCCAGAAAATTAATACAAAATTCCTAATGTAAAGTTAGTTTTAGGACCTTGAAAGTGGCATGTTTAAGTAAGGGGCCCTGAAACTTATATTTCATTCGCTTCTTGGGGTATCTACCTATGGATAGCAATTAATTTTTAGTATTTCTCTATATTGCAAAAGTCCAAAATATTTTTATCTCCAAACACATACTATAACATCCTGCTACTGTGACCTTCAGTTTTCCATCTTTCCCTAAGTTGTACCTCAGTTATAAGAGATCAACTTTCACAAAAGTCAGAGTCTCTCCCTTCCTTAGTTTTACATTAATCTGTACATCAAGATAAAATAATGAGTTTCTTGAAGTTTGATTATAGTTTCTGAAGACATCTGTTATGTAATTACACTCATGTTAACTATTTGTTGATATTTCAAATAGAAATAGGGAAAATAATTTTACTGGAAATATAAAATACCTGAAAATGTACATGGCTGATGCAGCTTAATAAGTGCAGATGCGCATGTGTGAACATACCTGACCTTTATATTTCAAACCAGACTCAACTATCTTTTCTAGGAAAAATCTTTTATCTCCTAAAGAAGGACAAGGAACAAGGTCTACTTTCAGCTAACCCAGTCACCATTTATAATATTCCAGTTTTCCACATTTGACCAAAGGAATATACTGTATTACTTTAAAGATTGGGTCAAAAGAGCTCTATGAGGAACATATTTACTATAAATATTCATAATTATATATATATAATGAGAATCATTTCCTCTTTAACCAATTTTTTTTTTTTTAGTTTTATAAGTCCTTACTAGTCTTTTAGGATCATAATTAAATATGTGCCTCTATATATGCCCCTCCAAAAAATATTTGAAAATAGTGTATTATTTATTTTTAAACTACATTGTTTATAATAAACTCCTATGTACTAACCATTTGGTTATACACTGGTACCAGTGTAGCATATGTAATAGTATATATGGGTGTATATGTGCATGTATCATTATAAAAATGTGAGAAAAAATTTACTTAGTATAAAAATATACTGTACATACAGAGGATGCCAGAGAATGTATACATATTTTAATAAAGGAAAAAACTATAAAATTGTAATGTGAAATGTAACACTCGATATATACAGATAACAAAAGATGAATATACGTCACATTTGACTTTTGCAATTACAAGAGATGCTCCAAGTGGTTACTGTCAGCATCCAGGCCCTTCTGATTACAGCAAAATACCTGTGAGCCACGTTCACTAAACTGTCTACTTGTATCACTGTGTGTGCATCTTCCTGAAGCACTGCCAGCATTGCCAGTTTTCTACGGTACACCACATCCTTTAAAGTTCCCCATAGGTAGAAATTGAGGGGTAAGTCAGAGAGATCCTGGGGGAAACTCAGCCACACCCCTTCATCCTACCCACTGTCCTGGCAAATTCTCATCGATATACGCTCTCTATCACATCTTCCTGCATGTAATTATCTTGGGGTGAAAACTTTCCATTTTGCTGTTTTAAGAATGTGCCATATGCTTATTCTGCTAACTCCCATCTCAAGTGCACATTGTAGCTTTCCCTGGCAAGCGTGTAAACTGTTCCAACACCGTAGCAGAAGCAGGACTTGCTGCTATGCGAGGCCTCTCAGATCTTCCTTGCGCACATCACACACAGCACCATATGTCGCAAACTTATCACGAATACGTTCAATTGTTAGGTGCGTTGGAAGTTCTGCTGCATAGGCATGCCGCCATTGCGGATCTGCTTCCACAATGTTTTCAAATTTCAAATACCACTTCAAAATGCTCTTGCACTACTCAAAGGACAACCATATTCCTGCCATTTTCTTTGACTGTCCTGCCTATTGCGTGGTGACACTCATATTCATTTGATTAGCATCACCTTTTAAGCAAACTTCATACTGTACACTGGTACCATAGTTCAACCTCAAAAAGTAATACATAGATAATGTCACTTAAAATATGTATGCATTTTTTGGCACCCTCAGCATAAATATGTGTATTTGTACAGGAGAGTTTTTTGAACTAGAATCTACTTTACATACAACCATTTTGAATAACAATCATGAATATTGATTTCTGGATTAAAGAAACCCTGTGTCTTCTCCTGATGGGTCTCACAAATAAGATGAAGACCACCTAACATTCATTCCTTTTTGTTTGTTTGTTTTAATACTGGCTGACTTTCTGTCTGGCTAAAATGGTATTACAATGGCAGTAGAAATTTCATAATGTAGAAATCATTTTTGAAAATAAGAAAAAATAATGAACATGTATTTTAGTTAGCTTGTACAAGGGTACATTCAAACAGATATTAGAATGAAAAATAAACAACAAATAAAAAAGATGAGACCGATCTGCAACTATCAATATAGGAACATTATCGTTGGGAATAGCCAAGAACTGTACAAATTTCTTCAGGAGACTTTACTGTTTTTTTTCATCAGGCAAGAAACAGCTCAAGAGTTTGTGGGTTTAGATTTTATGAGCCTCGACTGTATAAAAGATAGGGATATAAAAGAAATTTTTACTTCTCACCATGAAGAGTTGGGAGAGGTGGACAAATGAATAATATATATTGAAAATAGGTAACAATATTGTTTCCTATTTTCAATATATATTGAAAACCCTATGCTAAAAGTAAGGGGAAGAAATCATTATGAATCCAGTTAGAGAAACCAACAGTCAAGTTTGGCCAGATATCTAATATCTGGATATATATTAAATGTTGCCAAGGGCAAAAATTGAAATTAATGAATTGGAATTGCTCCAAATTATAAACAGTATTTCTACTTTGGACAATTGTCTATGAATTCTATGTTTGCTCTTAATAATTGCAACCAGTATAATTCTTCTAAAAATTCTTATTTTCCAATATATAAAAATTAAAGGATGAAATGTACTCTAACAACAATCATTTTGTCTTAGATGTAGATAAATAACAGCTTAAAATTTCATTATTATATTATTCCTACTGGTAAATTTCACAATATTTTCTAATACTGGCAGACCAATACTTTCTGAACACACACATTCAGGCAAAGTTTTTCTTTCTTTCAATGAACTCATAGAAGTAGAAATTTTTTTAGAAACATCAGTTGTAAATCTTATTTAGTGGAGACATTTCTGTCTCAATTTTTATGTTACTATATCCTTTTCCTAATGGATCTAGGCCAGTGGTTCTTAACCTTCCTAATGCCACAACCCTTTAATATAGTTCCTCATGTTGTAGTGACCCCCCAATCATAAAATTATTTTCATTACTACTTCATAACTGTAATTTTGCTACTGTCATGAATCATAATGTAAATATCTGATATGCAGGATGGTCTTAGGTGACCCCTGTGAAAGGGTCGTCATAACCCACAGGTTGAGAACCACCGATCTAGACAATTTTATCCAAAGAGATTTTTTAATAGGATACAAAATATATAAAAGAAACGCACCATCTCTCAAAATTCATCACCACGTAAAACTAGTCATAATTTTTTTGAATGTTCAAAATTAACATTTCATGTAGATATGATTACAGGGATGGGGGTTAATAATATGAATATTTTCTTTACTGGTGAATTCCCTCATGTTGATGTTGTAATCTGAAGCTTAAAAAGTGCATATGTTTAGCTATATTCATCCAGGGGTAAATTATTAGTGAAGCAGATGGCTATTCTTAAGAGGATTTTACTATCAAACTAACTTTTGCTCTAAGAAGTGTTATACACTTTCCAGATCACACAGACTCATGTGAAAATGAAATGGCATATAACTGTGGAACTTTCTGATAATGAGTGAAAAAACATCTAACATAATATATTCTCATGGATTTTCACTCAAACATAAATCTTGTATTTGTCTTATATACAGTGACCCCTAGAAGCTGTTCTATCATGTAGTCAAGATATCCCCTCTGGCCTTTGTTCAAAATGCTCTGAGTATAATCCATTAAAAGATGAGTGATATTACAATTGATATCTAAGGGGAAGCAATGCAATGTCAATATAAAATAAATTACTTTTGTCTTCTTTCCTATAATGATGATGTATGCTTTTTTAAAAAAGAAGAATAGAAAATGCTTTTAAGAGTATAGTCACCTGTAGTGTTTAAAACCATGTTTACAAAATCCATATATACAGAAAACACCTCAGTCTTCAATTTGAAGGCTCTTAGCCTTGATAAGGTATGGTGTTGAGAATGATCACTAAAGTAATTCACCATTTTCTTCGTCCTTTTTCTTAACTCCAACAGGTAGAGGGTATTAGTCACTCAAGAACTGTGTGAACTCATAGTACAATTGCGTATTAGCTTTCTATAACTACATGGAGTTATAAGTAAATTTCTTAGAAATTAGTTTAAATACACTAAATAATACAAAGAGAAATAATTGATATCTTTAGTCCATCACCAAAGTTGCAATTCTCTGGATTTTCGCAAAACAAGAAGTCAAGATCCATGTTGTTATTGTGTCTTTGCCCTTGGGAAGATGGCCAAGATTTCAAATGTATTAGTTCATAATTTATGACAGTCTTCTTCTGGTACTACTTCAAGTATTATCTGTAATGTTCTCGTTATTCTGTCTACAAAGAAATAAAGGAAAGAAATGAAAAATGTGCAGAAATCAAAAATGCATAAAAATAGCAAAATATGAATTATCTGTGGTTGAATACTGAAAACACACAACCGCCTATTTCATAGAGAACTTTCAAGAATTATTTACTTCATTAGAATCCTATCATGCTCAATTAATTTATTTGTCACTTCTGTAACTTCCCATGATGGCTTCTCAGCAAGAATACATTAATATTTTGCATTCAAATAAGGTTGTTTATTCATGAACCAAGAGGCTGAAAATATTTTGAGACAATAGAACCAAGATATAAATTAATGTTCAAAAATATACTCCATATTAAAACTGGTTTGTTCTTTTCACACCTATGAGATTACAACCTGTTCCTCAGATAAATCACTAGAAGAATCAGTATATAATTTCCAGTCTCTAACTTGCAGCATACTATTGAGGAAATTATCTCTCAGGGCCTTATATGCCTCATCAGTAGAGTGAGAGACCCAATCAGTGTTTCTCAAATGTGGTTCTTGGACTAGCTTTAGCATTACCTGAGATATTAGAAATAAATATTTTCAAGCTTAACCCTTCAACCCTTGACCTACTGAATAAAAACTGAAGGTGGGACCTAGTTATTTGTAATTCTGATAACACAAAAATATAGAAACCACTGGATTAGATGCATTCTAAAGTCATTCTATCTTGACAGTCCTAGAAATCTGTGGCCCCATTTTCCAGGGACATTCACTCTTATTTGCCTCTTATCATTATAATGAATCCCTGCAGAAACTCTTCAACTTCCCATCGGACCTAGAGAAGTCTACAGCCTATCCTCTTGATGTTTCAGACACAAATCTTCTCTCACCTGGATATATAATCTTTCTTCTCATGCATGACCTATTTCCTGTAGCAGCCCCATCCTAGAAATATTTAATGACATTACAAGGGTATTTCTTTCATCTTTTGCTCTATACATGTTTTGCAAGGTCTTGTCCTCAGGATACTGATTTTACAGTCTACATTAATTGTGAAGGGCCGAGCACAGTGCTGGCAAACAAGAAGCTTCATGTAATTACATCTCAAAGAAACTGCCATTTTCACAGCCTGCTCTTCACATTGAGATGTAAGTGTGGAATAAGGAGCAATTAAGCCTCATATTTACAGAAAAAGGAAATGATAAAATTGTCCTATAAAAATCGACTTTTGTGGGAAAGCTAAGTGTCAGTCAGTAGTAAAGGAGATGTGAGGTGTGGAGGAAGAGAAGGGTGTGGGGCCACCTGATAGTAGTTTAAAAAAATAAGAGGCCCAGACACCTGCAATAGCCAAATGAAAAACAGTAGTGTCAGAAGACATAGTCTCTGGCCTCGTCTCCTTGAAGAGGTCCTGCCCCAGCCTCCTGAACTGGTCTCCATGACGTCTGCCCTCCACAGCCAACACCAAAGCCTTTCCAAAAGTGTTTCACTATATCCTGGGCCCCCCGCACATGTGCTTTCTTAGTGATCATGCATAACACTGGCTCTATTCCAGATAAATAATGAACAACTTAGGTTCAGCTGCACTCCAAGTATATTACTTTGCATCCTTTGGATCCTCTGTTTGGGAGCACAAAGAGGGCTAAAGAATTTCTCTTCTGACTTGGCACCCTTTCTGCAGTCGTCTATTCCTCCCTGTTCAGTCAGCCCTCTTAACAGTCACCCCTGCAGCTTTCATGTGCTTTCTCCTGGGATGTCAAGATTTGAATAATTTTCATTGTAATGAAGGATTTTGCAGAGTGATTGATTTTGGACATGATTCCCTTTTGGAGTCGCATCAGCTTTCCTTCTGAGTTATCCAAGAGCAGTAGGGCAGACTCAGGACAGTAAGCCTCTAGGGAAGCCTGCTTCATGCCAGAAACACTGCAGACCATGAGGCATTTGATGGTCATTTCTTCATCTATGCTCATGATGAGGCTTTTGGCTTGGGAGCCATCACCTCCTAATGTTACTGTTGTAGATAAAGGTGAGTCAATGAACCTGGGCTTGGTGTTTTCAGTAAATGCAAGTTACAGGACCAAATAACACTTGCAGTATTTTTAATTTTATCGTTCATGTTCAGTAATTATTTTTGAAATAAGTTGAAACAACAACTGATCTTGCAAACTCTGATTTACCCAACTGTACCTGGTACAGGTAACACTATAGTGGGAACTCTACAGTGAGAATGGAGAAAGTTTGTGAAGTGACACAAAGCCACTCTTCCCTGCCAGTGAAGATAAGAATAATAATATATAATTTTTAAACACTTCAAAATCTTTCCACAAGTGTGACTTTACTTCATCCTCACAATTGAGATGGTTTGGGATCCCAAGCTATGTAGGCAAGTTTAATTAGTTGAAAATGTTGTACTGTAGTGGTGGAAAGGCTGTTAAATGCATTAACCTGCTTTCATAAGTTACCATCACCCTGTATGTGATATACGCTTTTAGACTCTAGAGTTGCAAAATCACTGTGCACAAAGATGCATTATAGTCATTCTGCTGGTGTCGCCTGGTGTGATTTTTCTTATATGAAAGATTTTGTTTAAATAAGGCTGTTTGCCGTGTTTCTCCCAGAGCAAAAGGAACCAACTTCTGCTCACTCTCAGCTGTCACAGGGTTTGGCTGACAGAGAGACAGCTGAGAAGCAAGACCGGGGTTTGCCAGGTTTTACTATGTTGGTATATTTGTGTATGTCACTGGGGCATTTGCCGCTTTTGCCTTCCATGAGAATCCAGGGTTTCTATGAGTAAATAAATAATATAAATAACCAAACAGGAGATTTAAGCACTCTGTCACAGATGGGGGAAAAAAAGAGCTTTACACAGTATCTGCCTATTCCCTAAAGAGCAAGTTTCTTTTCTCCCTAGAAATGCTATCAAATGAAAAGTGGTTCAATACTGGCATCCTGTGGCCAGAAAAATTCATCAAATCTCTGAAAATCTCAGTTCCTCGGATTCTAAGCATTGCCTGGCTTTCTGTACTAAACAGCCTTTCACCATTTTCAGAACACATTCTACTTCTCATTTTTCATAAAACAACCTAGGTAAGGTGTATGCTGATAGGCTGTCATTTTCACGAGGCTAATCTATGCATGTATGCTAGGGTGAAAAGAAGTGGTAATATAAAATTTTAAGAAATTTGGCAAGCAAAACAATGATTTTAAATCACTGAACAAACTGCTACAAGTTCTCCGGGCCTCCGAGTTCACACTGAGTTTCTCTGTAACAAAAAGATCATAGAGTAGCTGGGAGAAGGGTTAGGGCAGTGGTTTAGGACTCTGTTGCTTAGTGTGTCTGTGTGGGAGTGTTTTGTTTTGGCCAAAGGCTAAGAAAATACTTGCTATTGCAGCAATAAATATTATGAATTTTCTTTATTTTACTACAAGAATGCTGCCTAAGAGGAAAATCAAACAAAATTATGGAGGATTGTTGCTTTTTGCTACTCACTTTCAAGGCAGCTATAAAGATAAAGAGTTACAATGATCGCAGTTTAAAGGCAGAATTGCCACGCTTCCTGGTAAGACTTAATGGCATTTCTGAGAACCAAATAACTATTATGGGACTGCTCCATTGCTGCTCGTCTTACAAATGGCTCACACTAAATTTGGAGGCCTTGGAGATGCTCAAAACGTCATCAGAGACAGAAAAATAGCAAGGACCAAGGATGAAAATCGCTTGTGGGTGTGAACTGACAAGGAAGAAGGGGCACTGAATACCTACGTGTTAGCAAAAGGAAAGAACTTGGAGTTGGCTGTCTACAAACAGAAGGAGCAAAATACCTGCTCAGTGGGACAGAACAACAGCTTTGCTCTTCCTTCATTCTCCCTCTCGTTCTCCATACTCCAACCTAGTATAACCAGCTTTTTCTTTCTAAATTCTCCTGGTTTTCCATGGTGCTCAGGGGCTTTAACTTATCTCTAGGTGGGATGGGAGACAGACATGCATCCCACAGTGGTGAGTGCTAATCTGTACTAAATGCTAGTAATGAGTAAAGCAATCCCAATGGTAAATATCATTTGACAATACCTTTTCTGTTCTTTTGAACAGGCTCTATATTGAGTGTCTACAACAGAGAAAACTTACATAAAATTATTCTACAGAAAACTACTGTGATCTAACAACAAATGCCGGTCAAACACTCACTGGAGGCAACCAGTGTGCCTGTGTTAGGCTGCAAACACCTAACTTGCATAGGAAGACTTCTTTGAGGGATAGTGTTGCCAGGTAGAAAAATCCAGGCATAAATAGTAGTATAAGGTCTAAAGATGCCAAATAACCTGTTACAAGCTAAGAAAGAGTGGTAGCAAAACTCTGGCTTTTAAGCAAGTTTGCATAGCATACTAGAGATTCAATATGTCTATTTAAGTTTTTGTTGTTGTTTTATATAGTAACAATGACATTGTTAATAATTTTATCAGAAATCTTCCTAAACTTTTAACTTGGATTTTAAACATTAATTATGGTAAAGTGAGTAAACCAAAACAAAGAAGTACAAAAGTTGTCCTGTAAACTCACCAAACTCACCAGCAGGAATCTATCGGCTGCTCTAGCTGTATATGTTTACCTCTCTCTTTCCCTCTCTAAACAGTGCAGATTGATGACCAATAGATGAGGGTTCAAATCTTAGCTCCATGGTTTAAATTTTAAACTTTAAAACACGTGCACTGAAAATAAATTCTCCATTTCCTTGAGCCCTGGTTTCCCCATCTGGGTCTGGGATGAACGCCACTTCACACATCTATCTTGTTGGGGACTGACTGAGATGATAACGTAAGGGAGAGAGCTAAGGAGAGCTCCCGACAGACGCGAGCGGGGCATTCGGCACCAGTTATGGAACACCCTTCCTGTTTGGGGATCTGCTGGATTTATTCTCCTCCAACATAACTGTCCCCACATCATGCTGGGCTTTCCTCCTTAGTATGTTTCCCTTTCTCTCAGACTCTCCCGAAACTGCCTGTGTCCAGATCGCTTTCATCAGGACTGCCGCCGTAACGACCAAACTTGATTCTCTAACGGTAGCCTCCATCCTTTTTAATCCAGCCACACTCTCTGCAGGGCGATTTTTCTAAAATACAAAACCCTGAGTTTGGGCGTCAGCTCTTCCGTATCACGTGGAACAAATGACGTGAATTTTCCCATGTCATAATTTGAAATCTATAAAATGGAGATAATCATTTTTCCTACTTCAGAAGCCCATTTTAAGAACTAAATAAGGAAATACATGCGCAGACACATGGAAATCACACAGTAAACGGGAGCTGTTAGTCTTCTTCTCATTGTTCTTGCTGTCCCGACCATTTGTGATTCACTGTTCCTACCAAGGTGGTGTCACTATCATGATATGGAAGACACTTTCAGGCCTCTGCCTAACTCCACCACAAATCTCATGTCACTCATCAGGTTATGATACAGAATCACTAAATTGCATTCAACCCAAAAGAAAAATAATTAGGTTAGTAAGGGATTCAAAGGAGCAATTAGGTCATTTACTGAACTGCAGATAAAATTCAATCTAAAAAAGCAGTTCTCTTAAGAAGTGATTAGAGCATCCCAAACTAAATATCCTAAAAGGATTCAGTGGCTGGACCCTCAGTGTCTTCCTGAAAAAAAAGCAATTCCAATTAAAATGCAACAATGTACTCAAACTAGCAATTGTGTCACTTATTTTTTTTATTTTAAGATATGCACGTTGTATAGGTTTTCTATAACGCTGTCTCTCCTCTCACAAGGTCCTGAAACTGTTTAAAAATCTTACCTGATATTCTTCTAAACCACTTGGGCTTCTTGTCCCATATGATAAAGAGATAGTATGCGGGCACCCCGGTCAGAGTGATGACGAAGCCAATCCCTGTGCTGAATGGGTTCGAGTACAGGGAAAGGGCAACCATGAAGAGGCATGTGAAGGAAAACAAAGCTGGGATGAACAGTGGCACCTGGAACACAGAAGAGAAAAAAATCACTTTCACAAACATAGTTCAAGAGATGGATGGCAGGTGTTTCAAGATAAGCACATCAGTCACCTGATATGCTTTAGGGATAAGCATTCAGCACGTGACCAAGTGGCAGGCACCAATGTACCTTGGCTTAGTAATAGCATCTCTTTCATGGGGCACAGAGAGGCCCCCATTTAATCATCCTCCCTTACCTTTGATCCAGTTTAACTTAAATTGCTTTAAAATCTGTAGATTGAACAAAATCTAAGCATAAAATACCATTGTGATTTATGTTTTTGATTTTAGAAGTTTGGTTCGTTGATCATTATGATCCACTTTCAAGTGGAATCAAGAGTGTCAGCTGATAGTTACCATGAAAATCTTTTAGTGCATATTGATTTTCTGTTGAGATTCACAATAAGAACTGACAGGAACAAAACAGGCCAACCCCTATTCAACCACTAATGAAGATGCCACCAGCATGAGGCAATGAATATAATTAGAAACAAATTCTGACAACGTGACTGACAGCATTATCTGTGCTATGTCTTAAAAGCAAATAAATAGTGAGGTGAAGTCAATGTGTGAACACTCAAGGCTGAAGGAGGTGATCAGCCTATGCTTCAGCCTTCCCAAAAGGAAATGTTTATATTTGCTAAACAGGCACTCTCCTAAGTGGTAAATGTATAGATCTCCTTTTCTCCTCTGTAGTTCACATTTCTCTTCCTTTTAGAGTGTATAATCCAGAGAAGGAGTGATGTAACATGTCACAACAACGATGTACTTAACATGCCTATTTTGTAAAGCAGCAGCCTTTTGGAGAAGTATTTGCCTTACTTTGACTATATCAGGTCATTGGACACAGCCATGAAAAACCAACATAATACATATCCACCAATACCATCTTTTTTTAAAAAATGAGAGCATATGAAGTTTAGTATCTAACATAAAAAATGTGACTGCTTTTTCCAAGTTGAAATAAATCCCATAGGAGGGTGCTGCTATGAGAGTTAAACAATTTAACCCACAGGATGCTGCTCCCTGCCCAACCCCCCCCCCAGCATCAGGTTATGACAAAGGAGGAGAGGCGCTAAGAGAAAGATTTATGTAAACCCATCAAGATTACTGAGGTTACCTTGAAAGGACGATGCATATCTGGGCGTTTGTATCGAAGATAAATCAGCCCAGCAACTACCAGCCCAATAAAAAGCCACCTGGCAAAACTGAGGAAATTCAAAAGACTGTCGAGGTCTCCAGAGAAGAGCATTATCAATGTCAGAGGATGCTGGGTGTGGAGGGAGAAAAACCAAGCTTGGTGAATTCAATGAGAACACAGGTGAAAGCAAACAGTAACATCCCTACACATCATTATCTTTTTCAAGTAATTATTTATACCGATAAACTAGCATCGTGATTAAAATCACTATTTGACTAACCTCTTTTCTATATTCTGCTGTTATAAGATCTCAGTAGCAGTGTAAGAGTACCATCATCATCATGCTTTATTCAAGTGGAATCTTATGTGAATATTTGATTTGGGTTTTAGTTCCTTCTACACTTGAAAGAAGAGAATATATCTTCAAAGAGCAAAAGAAAGGATATTTAACGAGACAAAATTTAAAGACCCAAAGACTGAGATGCTTAGTAAATAGCCAATAATAAACACTAAAAGTGCACCCAATTAGAAAATTCACATAAACGTCTGCAAATGCTCCCTGATGAGCTCTTGGCTACACACACACACACACACACAGCCACTTAGGGGTGCTTGTGATGGCTCTGGATGGCAAAACATTGACCTTTATTCCTCCACATTCACTCTCCACGTGGGTGACCCTCAAGACCAGGGAAAAGAATGAAGCGCGGAGATCAGCTCAGCAAGTCCCTGCAGCTGCTCATGCCAAGGACAGCATGACTGATAGCAAAAGCTTAAAACGAAAGCCCTCTTCACGGAATAATACATTCTGTTCCCACAAGTGATGTTAACTTGCAGATTCCGCACAGAGAGTACATGTACTTTAAAAAGAAATTTCAAGGAAACATCCTGAAACAAATTAAATGCATGAAAAAAAAAATGCCCACCATATTCTATGGTGCTCCTGACAACAGATTCCCGTCAAGAAAAATGCTCCAAGATCGTGGGGGAAAATGAATATAACATGGCCACGGGTATTTAAAGACTTCACACTTTATACTGTCTTTTGTAGCCCATGTTTCACAAGCACTTTGCTCTGCAGAAAGAATTCTATGACTCAAATCTAAATTTTGGTATTTTTATTTTTATCCTGTAGGTTTGCTCTCAAATGCCTCACTTTTGATCACAGAGTCATCTCGCTGTCCATGATTTTTATCAATTATTTGGATAACTTTGCGTGCATTTCATTATGAGGTGCCTATGACGAGACAGCTGGGTATTTTTTGGACTGGAGTTTTTTTAGCTTTATTCTCTGTAAGTAGTTGGGACCTAGGACTCTGCATCCTTTTTATGAGGCTCTATGTGAGGGAGAGAAGCCACGCTGGCCATTTTCCTTAGGCCTTTGCATCTTTCTGCAAAGGTAAAAGAGAAGTGATGCCGTTATTGCCCGAAAGCACAGGATGCACATCAGCAACACTGAGTAAAGGGAAGGGGGGAATGTCCCACCTCCCACACTCCACCATGCCACACGTGAGTAATGAACGAGAAAGTAAAGCATTCTCTAAAGTCTGACTTGAATTCCTTTTTGCTAACCTGTTATTTGAGGTTATGTCTAGATATACTTGTTAAGATGCATTACCAAAACAATAACAGCTGGAAGAGGAGTGTGCTTGCGGACATGAATCATGGAGAGGATTTCTGGAAGGTGACCCTCTCGAGACGCAACATAGAATAACCTGATGGGAAAAAAATGTGGGTGGAGTTGACTATAGAATTGATCATTGTCAAGGGGAAATCCAGAACTCCCAGAAGAAAACTTGCATCTTTTTCATACCAAATGGTTTAGCATTTCTTTGGTGATTACTTAGGTTTGGCTTTTCAGAGAATTCAGAGAATAACATAAGAAATCTGAATTTGAATTTTACAATATCTGGTAACATTAGATTATTCCTTGAGGAGAAACAACAGCAATGTCTGAGTTTGAATAGCTCTCCCTATATATAAATAGCAGATGCTGAATTTAGTTTTATATTCCTAATATTGTATGTGTGTTGTGTGTGCACATACACATGCACATACAGTACACATGCACATATGTGTATAGACACACATACAGTATTCACTTTTTTCTGATTGGGTTTTAATATTTTCATATGCTAATACTAAGTAACAATGAAAATAAGTCAGAAATGTAATGCATCCATTTCCCTTTACAGATGAAAATGAATTAAATGAACATAGAACTGTAAAAACAATTTTTTTTCAAAGGAACTTCTGCATCAAACCAAACAGAGGGGATACAGATGGTGGGGTGGTTTTTAGTGTCTCTTACTTGACTTTTATCTCAATATCTTTAGAGAAACAAAAGATTTTCTCTTTAGAAAGGGGAAGCTGTTTTTAGACTCTATAGACACGCTATTAAAAAAAAACGCCACACGTCCGTCCTCAGAGTAGGCTATGCGTAGAGGAGCAGTGCCCTCTAATGGGCAGAATATAACCTGCTGTCGATACTTGAACCAACATTGCAATCTTGCATGTCCCTTTAAAAACAAAGGCTTGGAGGCACTATTTCGTTTCTTTTTAAAGTTATCCTTATCACATCCAATCTCAAAAACAGAAATGTGTTTCTGGAAATATGTGAACTCACTCACCTGGAGACAGCAAACACACCACCATTCATGGAGCCAAAGCAGGAGAGGGCAACAAAGATCGGAACTGCTAATGAGAAATTTCCCAGTAGCCGCTCAGAAAAGGTCTAGTGAAAGAAAAAAAATGAGGCAAATTAATGCTCTGCTAGAAGTGAAATAAAATGAAACAATTTAGGCCAAACTTGCTCTATGACTTTCTATTAGCCTGGTGATACGTGGATGTTTTTAAATCCTTCTCTTTGGTTAGGGTCAGACTCACTCCGCGGACAATAATCAAAAGCAGGTGCCTTGGCATTGTTTGTTGCAAAACTATAGGCAAAGGTCTAAACAAGCACCTTCCCTCCTTTCAAAAAGCAATGATCCATTTACCGAATCTTTATCAGCTCTGATGTGTATCATCTCTGACTCTGGTAAGTGGAAAAATCTCAGTTCAAATGCTCTACTTTCGGAGACAGAAATCCTTCTGCACAATATCTTCTCCTTAGACTGGAAAGCCACATTTTTATAGTGAAGTACAAATGTACACTGAGAATTATTACAGGTACTTATTTCACATACCAATCCCACCATCAGGAGGCCAATAAAATAATTGATGACTTCATAATGTATGCCATATGTATAAGCAGCTCTGGAATTTTTCTTTTTTCAGGAAAAATCATACCAGCTGAACCCAGGTTTGTGGAGTCACTCCCTCCCCATTCGGTATCCTACCAATTCCTTTTGTGATTCCCTATAAAAAGTCTAGAGCACAAATAACAAGTCCAACAAGCTACAGAAAATATGAATGATAAACAAAACTCGTGAAATTTTCTCTTATGCCGTGACATGTGCAACATTGAAAATTCCCATAAAGATATATTTTTTCCCAAATTATGTGGATTCTTTAGTTTTACTTGATGCAATTGGTGCTATGTAATTAATGGACCACATTATGCCCACAGAGTAAGCACTGTCCTCTGTCTAGAAAGACGAGACAAATAACCCCACATCAAGTATTATATATTTGAGCATCTGGTCAGAGTTAGAACAGTGGGCAAAGTCTTTAAAATACAGTGAACTTGTACACAGGTTCACACAAAAATGGGATAATTTATTCCTTGTGAATGCTGCTGATATGAAGTAATACTGACTATTTTTAAAGGAGCTGACTTCAAGAGATGAGGAGTTAATTTTTTGCCCTTCATTGTCATGGGGTCATGAGTGAATGGTCTCTCACTCACTAACTTTTTATGCAAAATAAAAGTGTGTGTCAGAGAATAACATGATCTTTGGGGACAAAGATCTTCCTGGTGTCAATAAATTCTGGAAAATGCTGTAAAATTATGTGCATCCACTTCTTAGGGAGTGAAAATGCACATTAGTATCTTTAATGTTCTGAGAAGTACCATAACAACACATAACAACATCTGTTTCACTTTCAATAACACAGTATTTCCCAAATATATTAATATCTCTGGACTACTATTCAAAAAGATATACCAGGAAAACAAATTTACATGGTCCACATGAAAATTCTTAAGTGGTACTTTGGGGAAATGATTTTCTGTTAGAATTTGAAAAATTTATAAACAGGAAGGAATACGGAATAAATTGCAATTTTCATACAATCCTCTCCCATTCGTTTAGATTCCATAACTGCCCACTATGCTTAAAGACATGGAAGAATAATGCTTTCCACTCAATGATGCCCTGACGGATTTTCAAGCATGTACATGTGGAAATGCCTTACAAGAAATTAAAAATAAAGAACAACCATATAGGACTGTAGCTGTACCAGTCACATGGAATATGCTAAGCTGTGCTCTAAATTTTTTAAATACTTTCATTATCATTCAGGTCAAGAAAAGATTACTGAATTTCAAAACACTTTCTGCTAGAGGGACCTACTATAAAATTGAATCAACTCATTAACCTAAATTTAAATTGGCATTTTCCCAACCTAGACTTACCACTGCCACTGCATTTGAAAGCAACAGCTCCTCTGCGCTAATGGTGGTAAAGTAGGCCACATTCGTCAGCACATAGCCAATGGTGACGATGGCCATGGATATACATATTGCAAGAGGAATGGTTCTGAAATGCACAAAGGAATCACGGACCTCTTGTTAATCATTCTCCGACACAAAAGAAAACAACAAGCTAATCCAAATGAAGAATATAATGGTATCTACAATAATTATAGGCTCTATGTGGTATGTATATTTCATCAGGGCAAAGAACCACGTATTTCTTCATAATTCAATAGGGTCCATGGGGGCAGCTCCTTCATCAGTCTTGTCTACCTCTATCCCCCAGGACATACGGATCTCTGGCATTCTTGCACTCTGTAAGTGCTTTTGTGGTGTTTCTCCAACTTCAGCTTGCTTCAGAATCCCCTGAAAGGCTTGCTAAAACACTGACTGATGAGCCTCACCCCAGAGCTTCTGACACAGTGGGATTTCCATTTCTCATTATTCCTAGATGATTCTGATACTGGCAACCAGGGGACCGTGCTTTGAAAATAGCTGTCCTATATACATGTCTAATGCTCATTCACTGCCTTGACACCTAACACCAGCCCTCAAAAACATTTGTTGTGCTCAGTGTTTTCCCTCACGGTAGCTTCCCTTACAAGCAAATAAACGCAGACTTTCAGAAGCATGACAGTGGCACATATCCACCTTTCTAAATGACGGCAATAATAATTTTGTATATAACACGAGAAGCACAGAAGTGTTTGCAGTAATGACTTTGCACTGCCCTGCTGTGAGTTCAAAGGAAGCTCAAGATCATGAGTATCTAATAAAGCAATAGCACAGATAATCCCATGAAATTAGAGGTGACATGCTGTGAAGTACAGATGACTGGACGGTGCTGACACCATGTGGCATCAAGAAGTGCCCAGCACAAATGCAATGTTATGTCTTCATCTAATGCCCTGGGAAAGCCAGACAGTTACTGACCCTAGTAATTTGATTCCATGTTACGGATACACATTACATGTACTTGCTTAACATAATCACCTCTTCAGACTCTCTATAGTTCAGGCAACTTAAACCTTCAATTCCCTGCACAAAGACTGATCATTTTTTAGCCAAAGTGCTTATCGGTCCTCATGGTGTCTTTACCCTGCTGGGTGCCACTAAAAAAGACCCCCAACATGATTTCTTCCAAAATGAAAATGCAATTCAGAAGCAGGGGAGGAGAAAGGCACAGCCTGCCTCACTATTCAAGCTTGGTGTTTTTAGCACACTAAGTCTCAGCTCATTATGCTGTAGAGCAATGTCCCCTGCTGAGAACAGGCAAACCTACCATCAGCAGCTGCCATTCATTGTGCTACTTGGAGCCTGACACTTCCCGGATCCCCAAAGCCTTAGGCCTTGATGGAGAAACACATTGACCTCTAAATCTTGACATCCTGATTTGGAAGTAGCAGATGTTCCCCTTCCCCAGTGTGAAGAGGGTGCTGTGGAATTTTCTGTTAACACCGTAACATGCACTGCTAGCTGTGATTGATTGATAAATGCTAAATTTAAGCACAGGGAATGGCTAGGCTAATAAAATATAAAGGAGTGAAAGGCATGAAGCAAATTAAAGATAAATGCTGTTTCTTTTTTAGGGGATACATGTAAATGCAGAAGGGTAAGAAGGAGAACATGAAGGTATATAACAGCTTTTCAATCAGTCACTGTGTTATTTTTAAACTTGAATTCTTTTAGCGTTTATCATAACTCCCTCATATGGGAAGTTCTTTGTTTAGAGGGAGGAGCCGAGAGGGAGAGAAATCTTCCTTGTAAGCATGTAATTAAGATATGAAAAAGTTTAAGAGTGAGGTGACTTATTATTAAGTGCAATGAAGTAACTGAACCTGTTCAAGACAGGTAGTGCTTTCATACCCCACACGGCTGCAAAACGCCAAAAAGAAATAAACTCCGAAATCGGAGACTGTGGCTCTCCCAGCATAAAACTGAGCCCCTCAGCCTGGCTCTTCCAGCCAGTCTGCTGTTCTCTATCTAGACATTACAGTCTAAGAGTCGTTTTCTAAACTGATCATATCAGAAAGGAACCTAGAAAAGCCAACGTTCTAGGTTCGTTTCCCTTCCTTCTCAGTTTGTTTATAACAAAACAACAGCTGTAGCTGCTGTCACATTGCTGCTAGGTGTCCCATGTTTTATTTGGCACCTTACATATTTGCCTTACTTTCTCATTGCAAAATGGCCTGCATTAGGGACAGCAGCATCATTTTGAATATGAGTAAATGGAATCTTCGAGAATTTAAGCAACTGTTCAACAGTATATAAATGGTAAGTGGAAACCCTAGAATTTATATGCATAAAACCTACCTTGAAATCAGGACACTGTAACCACCAAGTGTATTCTATCTCTCATGTAAGTCTCCAAACTCTATAAATTTGGGGGGAAATTATAGTTGTTGGATATCAAGTTTATTGGAAAGCTCTTGTCAAGACTGTATTTCTCATGTATTCACTGGCAATGCAGTTCTATCTACTATAAAGAAAGGAGAAAACGTATTTCAAGATTTTTTATCATTTTTCTTTGTGACATGAACTGTAATATCAAGTGAATGTTGTTAAATAGTTTCATTGTTTAGGAAGTAGGTGTTTTATTATTATTATTTATTATTGAAAAGAAACACAGGCTTACTAAATAAATTTTCCTAAACAACTTTGTAATAGAAAATGGGGAAATAAGCATGCTGGTCAAATAAGCAGAAACAGAAACAACTTGACTATCAGCCAAATATACTACATAGAACCTGAGAGAAGGAAGTAACTGGAGCTCAAAATATAAGACAAAAAAGAGTGAGGGCCTAATCTTGTTACAGTGCACAGCATACCCAATGATTTCTCCATAATAAGATAACATTAAGCAATGGGAATGGGAGGGGGTGTGGCTCTAGCACCTAGTTTCCGTATTTAGATTCCATTTCACTTTTGCAGAGGTAAGGGATGGGAAGTCTATCATGGCTTCCTGGGAATCAACAGCCATTATTTACAAGAAAGAGCAGCAGAGTTGTTCAGAAGGGCTTGGCACCATGTGGTTAACTTCTGGTTTCAAGCATCAAAGCATAGAGCCATTGGGTGAGCTGATAAAAGCTATTAGGCCATGCCAGAGCAATCTTCCTGGAAGCTTTAGATGCAGAGGGCAGATAAGAAGGTCTAGTAACCCAAGATTAAGGCAAACAGCACATGATAATAAAAGGAATTACAGGAAGGAGCCAGAAGGCCACTGATTATTTCAAAGCCTCTGTGTTATTGTGAGGTGTTAACCAATCCTAAACGCATTGTCTTAACCTGAAAAAAAGACTCACACTGGAGTTTTATTCTCTCTCAAATGTTTGTACATGTTTACTCTGTCTAACAAAATGCAACATTACCAAAGAGTCACTTAATCCTTAAGAGCTTTTTGTCATTATGTATGTGCTTTTCCAGTAACAGACATTAACTATCTGAGTCTGATATTTTTATTAGTGGAAAATGGTCTTCAATAAAAAAGGTCTTGGACAATCTCCTTTTTTTTTATAGTTTTATTTTAAATTGGCACCTATAACTAGTTTATGTCACAGATGGACAAATTTTATTTTATTTGAAATTATTAAATGGAAGTTTCCTAAATATCTACTCAGAAACACTTTTATTCTGAGTGACAGAACTCCTCACAAATCCAAATGGCCTGACACTGATGGCTGGTGGCTTCTATTTGCATAATCTACAAAGTAGTGGCAAATACATTTTATTTTATCTTTAAATATATGCCTGTCACTCAAAATTCTTCATTAAATGAGAAAGAATGTGAAAAATAAAATTTATAGCAACCCATTGAAATAGAAGGTAATATCCCAACTTTTAAACAGGAAAACCAAGGCTTAGCAAGGTTAAATGATGTGATCGGGGTCATAAAAGCAGTAAGTGGGATGGTTGGAACCTGAACTCGTATCTTCCACCTCTAAGTTCCTCACATATGATATATCTTGTTATGATAAGAGGCTGTTTTGTGCCTATGTTAACCCTAGATACAAAGACCTTAGTATCACACACACAGACAAACATGTATCTTATGTAAGTGATATGAATATCAGAAGGCTAGTTATCATGATATGACACCTTTTAAGCCAAGCATATTTTCCATATACCTAACAGTCACCACAAATAAACCTGCAAATAATGCAGCAAAAAAATGCATTTTTAATGTGTTTCATAACTCTGTGATAGACTATCAGAAATAATTGTTGTTTCCACTGCATCGTTTTGGCTAAAAGTGATCCCTTGTGTAAAAACAGAATGAGTTAACCTAGCTTGATTCTCCAGATAAGTCAAGGAACCTGAAAATTAGAGGGGTTTCTGATATTCAGTCCATGTAAGTAATTCCCTAATCACTTGAATTTATAATATTCCAAGATTGTTTTATACTGTGAACAAAATCTGAAATTTGTGTAAGCCAAAATAAGTCTCATACTATTCCCTGTGCTGGATATACACAATGAAGATCACAGAACTTATTGATCATGTGGCACCTAAATGAGTCTTTGTGCCATGGAACTGAGCATGATAGTGGGCAGTTCTGTGAAACCTACTCCTGTGTGTTCTAGAACCTTTTAAGAGAAGTGATCGGTGCCTCACATTTTCTATTAAAAATCATTAATATTTTTAACACATGTATTTGGCATTAGGGAAAAAGAGGGGAGAGGAAAAAGAATTGAGAAAGTCCAGGGGATAACAAACTTCTTAAAGTGTGAGAAGCAAAAATAAAGAGAAACTGGGGACTGTTTCTTTATATATAATGGAAATGAAACTGGAATTTATTTCAACACATAGTATTTAGAATCATATTAAGTGCCTTAGGAGTTTAAGTATTGATTTCAGAACCATATTTGTTTCACATTTTCTTTTCTATTTATTTATTTTTTAAGGTTCTTTGTCAATTCAATGAATTATTGTAATAATTGTTCATTTTTTATTTTTTAATTGCAGAATATTATAGGCATACATAATTTTGGTTACATAATTTGCTTTCACATATTTTAAGTCAAGATTACAAGTGTACCCTTTACCCAGAGTATGTGCACTGCACCA